CCCCAGCCTCACTCCCTTCTGTGCCAAATAGAGTTTAGTGAACTGACTCCTTGGGCTCTGGAAACCAGGGAAATTCCTAACTCTGGTCCACAACCTGTTCACCACCCTCCCTGCTTCCCAAGAAGCTCCTCCCATAGCTCCTGGGGATGGACAAAGGGACACGGATTCCGAGTGTGGGTGGAGAATCTTTATTCAACAGCGGGGCTGCCTAAGGGGCCAAACTCTCCTCCAGCTTGGAGCCCAACTGCTTCGTGCCAGATCCAGCAGATTTGGCCCTGGGAGGGTGGCAACGGCCAAGGTGGCCAGGGCACGGCCAGAGCGGGGGCGGGGGCGGGGGCTGCGAGGGCAGTGGCTGGGAGGCAAGGTGTCCAGGGCCGGCTCAGGGCGTCCAGGGCCACCTCAGAGGCAGCCGGTACAGGCGGCATTCTCACACAGCTCACAGTTGTCACTGGCGATGGCCTCTGGGCAGGGGAGAAACTGGTCAGCTGAGCCTGAACCTGAAGCACCTGTGGTCCAGGGAGCTGCCGGCCGGGTGGCCGGAGACGGCCCGCTTAGGGGAGGGCCTGAGGCTGGGCCGGCATCGTAATCACAGATGAAGAGCATTACATTTTAGAAATGAAGTGAGCACCTTGGGCTTAAGTCCCAGGCCCTCTCCTTCCTCACAGTGCCTGGGGAAGTCCCTTACACTCTGCCTGAGTTTTCTGTCTCCTGACAGGGTGGCTGTGAAGACTATGCCGGCAAAGGACTGACATGGACCTGGCACCGAGTAGGTGCTCAAAAAATGCCAGCTAGTTTTCCTGGCCAGCTCTGCTTCATCCCTTATATTTCAGCTTAGCTGTCACCTCTTGGAAGCCTTTCAGGCTCTTTATGTGACCACAAATGTGAGTCTCCACTCCTCTGTGTCCCCACTGTGCTCCCCCATTGTGCTGCATTGCAGTCATTGCTCATGGGTCCCTTTCCCGGGGTCCCTTCCCTCCCATCTGTGAAGTCTTTCACGTAGGACGACCAACAGGTCCCAGCTGTCGGGAGCTGAGGGGCTTCCTCGTGCCTGACTTTGGTACCAAAACTGGGAAGGGGAGGGGTTGAGTTCCTTGGATCTCCCTGTCCTCAGCCACTGGGGGAGGACCTGAGCTGGGGCGTGGGGAGGAAGAGAAAGGGCAGGGGCCTCCCGGGGTGGGGTGCTCACTCAAGGCCTTGAAGATGCTGGAGGCCTCCCTGGAGGCACAGATGGGCTGGAGGTCGGGCGGCAGGGCCAGGTGGTAGCACGGGGTGGGCAGGAGGCCCTGGGCCTGCAGGCGGGGGCTGATCACCCACTGCCTCTCCAGGTCACTCAGTTTCTTCACGGAGTCCAGCTGGACCTGGAAGCCCTGGTACTGCGGGTAGGAGGGGGAAAAGATGGAGGGAGTCAAAGCCTAGACTAGGAGACCAGGGTTCCTCGGACCCCACAAGCCTTTATGTTCTCAGGGGAAGTTCGGGCCACACCTGGAAGACAGCCTGGGGGGCGCGAGGTGGTGTGGGACACTTCACACCCCTGGGTCACAGGCCCCCCAGTCACTACTAGATGAGGTCACAGCAAGGCTGTGGAGCACTGTGGTTCAGGGCATGGGCTTTAGAGACCAGCAGACCCTGGTTCAAATCCCAGCTCTTCCTGACCAGGTACCTGCCTCATCCCACTCTGAGCCTCATCTGACAAATGGAGGTAATCATGTCCCTTCCTCCCCAATGCCTGGTATCCAGGGCATACTCCATGACTGGGTGACCTCCCCCGAACCGACATGGCAAAATGATGGAAACCTCCAGCTAGCCAGGGTCCAAGGCCAGGGCTGCAGGGGGAGGTGAGGCTCTCTCGCACCCTTCTGCAGGACCCTGGAGGCCCAGGAGTATGAGACGCCCAGGGCTACAGACTCCCCGGCCATGGTGCAGAGGCCAGCGCATCCTGCCACACTACAGACAGGCCCACTTCTGTGGCTCCTTCCAGCCTCACAGGCACCTGGAAGGCGTCCCAGACCCCCTGCTGTCTGCTCTCCGGGCTTTTCCTATGCTGTGCCCTCCGTCTGCAGCAGTCTGTGTCCCCTGTGCCTGGCTACCTCCTGCTCAACCTGCAATGTCCGCTCAAGTCACCTGCCAGGGAAACGTTTTCTGGTGATTACCCCCCTCCACCATGAACCCATACGTGGTGAACCTGGAGAGCTGCGGGAGCACATAGGGGTCTCCCCTCCCCCTCTGGGCATCTCAGGACAGGCACCATGTCTTGTTCCACATGCTGACCTCTGACCAGGATGGGCCTCCAAGGAGAGCCATGCTGAACAACAGCAGTTTACTAGTATTGCTATTGTCACCATCACCATGGCCATAGGCATACTGGCTGCCCACACCTAGCAGCTGTTCTAGTCCCTGGGCTGTGACTGGGTGTTGGGCTGAATCCTAGGCCCTGTGCCCCCCTATACCCCATGAATTCCTAGCATCCCCTCTTCATCCCAACCTCCTACCATGAGAACCTTTAGTAAAAGGCCATTCTGGCTGGAAGGACTCACCTGGATGTAGACTGACTGTGTGCTCTGCAGAAGCACCAGGAGGACCACAGCCACTCCAGACAGGAGCCCTGACATAGTCCTGCCACCCATCTTGCTCCCTCTGAACCCCACCACAGCCATCCACCCAGCTGCCACCTGCTTCCCTGGGTAGCAGCTTTTATAAGCCATGCTCCAGCACCCTGGTCACTCATTAACTGGGCAGCTGGGGTGGAGTTGACACCTGGCTGGCTTTGTGACACCATTCTCAGGAAGGGTGTGAAGGCAGGGAGGCCCATGTGTGTCAGTGCCTGCTGAGTGTGGGGCTCTGTGGGGGACCTTGGACCACACTGATTCCTTTGCTCCTCCAGGTACCTAAGCCAATGAAATGATAGGGAGACCACGTTATAAACAGGGGAAGTGAGGCTCCAGGGTTAAAGCGACTTGCCCCAGGTCACAGCACTAGTCAATGGCAAAGCGGGGACTCAGGGATTTTTGACCCAGGACAGCCCATGGTTCTTCTCTGGTCAAAGGATATAGACAGACTGGCTGGCTTGGGGCAAGGTGGGCAGATACAGAACCCTTGGTGCCCTAGATCCATGTCTCTTCCACACCCTCTTCCCAGCTCCATTTAAGAACCATCCTTCTGATCAGTCTGAGCCCAGGCCCTCAACCTGCCTCTCCCACCGGGCCGGGGAATCCTCAGGCCATGTTTGTCTCCTCTCATCTGTCTGTTCCTCTTGGAAGCCAGTAGCCTCACCCAGCACGGAGGAAAGAGCCTGGCCTCGGAGACAGATTGACTGGGGTTCAGAGCCTGCAGCTGTGTGACCTTGGACAAGTCACATCAACTCTGAGCCTTAGTTTCCTCTTCCACCAAATGGGCAGGATGGTAAAACCCACCAGAGGAGGCTGCTGCGAGAGTGGTGGGCCCACGCGAGCTCGCCCTCTTCTCCCAGGCAACACGCCGTCGCAGGGCCTGAGGCCCACAGTTGCCCCCTAGGCAATGCGTAACCCACGCCGGCCCTCGGGCTGGAGGCTGGGTCAGGGACGGGAGAGTAGAGTCTGCAGGCGTTGTCACCGCGCCTGCTCAGGCAGCTGCAAAGGGTGCCCGTGCCAGGCCTGGGTTCTGCAGGGCGCCGAGCCTGGTGCGCAGTGGGCCCCCCGTGCGTGACGTTGAAGTGAAGCCAGAAAGCTCCGCTCGGCGGGAGGCCGCTCTGCGCCCGGCTAGCGTCTCAGCCTCAGAGCGCTCCGCTGCGCAGGCTGCGTGTCACCTCCTGCTGTCACCAAGGCGTTCCGCCTGCCTGCAACTCACTCCCTGCCCTGTCTGCAGGTGAGATGGAGAAAAGCGGAATTTACTTGGTGTTTCCTGTCTTTCTTTGAGTCCCGACTTCAGGCCTTACTCTTTAGAGGATTTAGAGGGGAAATTAAGGGGCTCGTCCCGGCTTCCTCACCTGGGAGCTGAACGCAGTCATCAGTGGCAATAGCTCTCATTTCCTGAACCGAGAAATGCAAGGTGTGCAAGGTGCAATGCTATTTTACGGGCGCAATCTTGCTCAGTTCTGTGGGGTGGGTGCAATGGCTGTCTCCATGTCAGAGTGAGCAACGCAAGGCCCACCAAGGTAAGCGCCGTCATGTTAACCTAAAAATAAAAGGCCTTTCCAAGCTAGAGGCAACAAGCGTTTATTTGAGGTTGAAGAACAGTTATTTGGGAAGCACTGATTCAGGCAGAAGCCCAAATGATGCTCTGATTAGGAGGCCAAGGCAAGGGGTATGTCTGTAGGAGGAAAGGAAGGGGAATGGTGACATCGGCAGAAGGAAGGCGTTTCTATCACTGCAGATAACAGAACTTGGTGATGTGAATTCTAAACGATGTTTGTAATTTTCCGTCTGGTAGTCATAGACCTGCTTCTTGTTATCCTTGCAAACAGTTCTTTGGGGCACAGTGTTGCTTTAGGCCCAGTCCAACGATGGTTTTTCTCTGTTTGAACCTTCCAAAGGCTTGAGGCATTAAGACCTGCAAGGCAGTTCCTCCGGGATGGCAGCTCGGGCTCCATTTTAAAGTGGCTCTTTGTATGCTATTTTTTTATAGTCACTGTGAGAGTAAGAGGGGTGAGCAGGTTTTATATTTGGAATTCTTGCCTCTGCTCAGCTTATGGTGTTATAGAAAAAGGGACTAGACCTTGGAGGGAAGAAGATCTGGGTTTAAACTACTTATCAGCTGTGTGATCTTAGATACGTTACTTAGCTTCTTCGTGCCTCTGTTTCTTCATCGGTAAGTAGAAGAAACAATGAGCAACCTCCATTGTGAGGACAAATGGGAAACCCCGTCCCCGCGGAGCCCGTGACCGGTGACTAGCACACGCCTGGCCCGAGGAGGCCGCGCAGTGAGCGCTGGTTTCCCTGCCTCGCCTTCTCCGTGGAGTCCTCCCTGACAGACCCCATCTCTGAACCTACAGCCGGAACAGGTCTGATCTTAGTCTTAAAGGCTGTGACGTGCCATCTGTCCACCGCTGGGTTTGACAGCTATATGACCTTGAGCAAGCGCATCACCTCTGGGATCTCAGGTTCTCATTTCTAAAAAGATGATCAGTCTTCAGCTTTTGAGTTTGTCATGAGGCCGCCTGACTCCCCAAATCCCTGCTCTTTCCACCAGAGCAAGCTCAGCCCCCTTGACCCCACACCAAGGGTCAAGGAACAAACTTGTAGGGTTTGGAGGCTCCTGTGGTTGTGGTCTCTGTCCCTTCTCCACCTTCCAGCCCCTCCAGCCAGGGCCCATCATGTGTCACTCTTCCCTGGGAACAGGTGTGACTTTCTTATCTACCTGACATGACTCAGATTCATATTTCAATCCATAGCCTCCTAATTGCTCCATGAATGACCCACCATCCATCAAAACCACAGGCAGCAACCTTGCTGCTGTGCCATCAAGCCACTGTAAATGACATATCTCAGGACACTTCCTTCTTTAGGGACGTGGGAAGTGACTGTGATTCTGGTCTCTGTGTGGGAGCCTCAGCCAGAGTGGTGGCAGGCAGTTGGCCTGTGTGTGTGTTTGGGTGGCTCCTTTCTCTGCCCTGGACTTCCTGTTACATGCCCACCACTACAGTGCCCCAGAGCCCGTGCCTCTCTGACTCCACACTGACCATCTCCCAGGAGCGTTGGTCACTCTCTGACTCCACACTGACCATCTCCCAGGAGCGTTGGTCACAGCTGACTGAAGCACTCGCTCCACTTGGTGTCTGGGACGCACGCTCTCTGGATTCGCTGTCAGTCTCACTGGCCCATCTCGGTTTTCTTAGCTGGTTTTTCTTTTTTTACTCCTAGACCTTAGAATGCCCCAGGGGTTCCAGGGGCTCCAGGGCTCAGTCCTCGGGCTACTTTCCTTTGTCTACAGTCACCAAGACTGGTGATCTTATCCAGCCTCAAGGACTTGCTTGAACGCCATCAGTAGCTGCCCCGTTCACTCCCTATTCCGACTTCCCTCGGCTGTGGACTCATTTATCTGGCTCCTCAGCCTCTCCCACTAGTTGAGGGCACTACCATTCACCCAGTTGCTCAGCCAAAAATACGGGAGTCATTCTCAATGCTTCTCTTTTTTTCACTTGCCCAATTTGATTCATAGGCAACTCCAGTAGCTCTACCTTCACAATATTTCTAGATTCTACTCATATCTCACCATTTCCACAGCTATTAAGTCCAAGTCGTCATCACTGATCCTCATTCTCATGGATTATTTCAACAGCCTTGTGTTAGTCAGGATTCTCCTGAGAAACAGAACCAGTAGGGAGAGAGATAAATATCCGATTCTATTATATCTAGCATCTATCTGTCTATCATCTATCTATCATCTATCTATTCTACTCATCTAGATTTATTTTAAGGAATTGGCCCACTCAATTGTTGGGGCTGGTAAGTCTGAAATCTGTAGGGCAGGTTGGCAGGCTGGACATTTAGATATGAGTTGATGTTGTGACCTTGTGTCTGAAACTGCAGGAGAAGCCAGCAGGCGGGAACCTCGGGCAGGGTTTCTGTGTTGCAGTCTTCAGTCAGGATTCCCTCTTCTTTAGGAAACCTCAGTCTTTGCTCCTAAGGCCTTCAGTTGATTGAATGAAGCCTGCCCACATTAATCACTTAAAATCTACTGATTTAAAATGTTAATCACATCTAAAATAACATCTTTAGAGCAACAGCTAGACTAGATATTCGACCAAATAACTGGGCACCGTAGCTTGGCCAAGAGAGATCTCCAAACAGATCTCTTTGTGTCCACTCTTGCCCTCTTCAGGCCTTTCTCCACACATTAGCTAAAGTGATTCTATTAAAATCTAAGTCAGATCATTTCTCTCCTCTGCTCAAACCTACTCATGGCTTCTAATTTACTTGGTAAAACCCTAAGGCTTCCACTGGCTTCCCAGGTCCCTGTGGTGTCCCTCCATATCTATGACCTCAACTCCAAAATCTCTGCTGTTCACTCTCTGGGCTCCAGCCACACTGTCTTCCTTGCTGTCACCCAAATATGCTAAAGATTGTTTATCTTGGGGCCTTTGCTCTTTACCCACATATCTATATGGCTCACCTCCTCACTTTACCCAGTTCTCTGCTCAAATGTCACTCCCCCAAAGACATCTTTCCTGACCATCCTCCCTCGAGAACTTTCCCTTATTTCCACTCATTTCTTTAACTTGCTTTCTTGTAGCACCTGTCCTGTGTACATTTCACTTGTTGCATTTCTCTCCTTAGAATGTAAACTCTAGCAGAGTAAGGAATTTATCTATTTCATTCCTCCCCAAACAATAACTGGCACATAAGCGGTGCTCAACAAATGCTTTATAAATTGAATAAATGACTGATCTACTCCACCAACCACCAGATGTTGGCTTTGGACAATTTCCTGCTTCTCTGAGCCCCGTCATATGTAAGGGGCCTGGCACATGGCGAGTGTTCAAAAAAATGTGGGTTGTTATTATTTTTATAGTTGTGAAATCGTTTATTTATTGGGAAACAGAAACTTTTTGTGTCTTATGTACACAGCCAACTCTAGGGTATTTATAATTTAATCAACAAAATATATACTATGGCCTTATGTGTCGAGAACCATTCTAGGCAGAAGTGAT